ACACTTTGAGGATATTATGCTCAGTGAAATAAGCCAGTCACAAAAGGACAGAGTATATGATGCCACTTAACATGTGATTCAGAGACAGAATGGCAGATGCCAGGGGCTGTGGGAAGGAGGTAATGCGGAGTTGCTTAATGGGTAGTAGTTTCCATTTTGCAAGATAAAGAGTTCTATGAATGAATGGTAGTAACCAAGGCACAACAATGTGAATATAACTTAACATGAAACTTAAAAATAAGTAAGATGGTAAAATGATGTTATGCATATTTACTAGAATTTTTAAAAATTGACGATTAAAGAAAGGAATAGTCAGGAAAAGTTATGGGCAATTAAACTCCAGATATTTTTGAGAAAACCTTTTGAACAAGGATCACTCTGTTGTTCATTTGGCTTCTTGCAAAAGAAAATAAGCAAAACACATCGACAGTAAATATGGTTCTCCCAGGAAAAGAAATCAGAAATATATGAGACAAACGTCCCAAGACAAAGACTGGGGTACTTAGCATGTGAGAAACAGATTGGGCCTGCCCACTTTATGGAAAATGCCCTACCAGGATTCCCATGGGCAGGGGCATCCCGCAAAGATCCAAGAGGAAATCTTGCCTTCTGTACCATCTGACTTTTATGGGGCTTTTGGAAGGACAGAATAATAGTGACTCTTCTTCTTCTCTCATGCCAGAGACTCCTTATAATCCCCTTTCTATCTGGGTATGGAACCACCATTTGACCCAGCTATCCCTCTCCTCAGTCTATACCCAAAAGACTTAAAAATGGCATACTGGGACACAGCCACATCAATGTTTATAGCACCACAATTCACAATAGCTAAACTGTGGAACCAACCTAGATGCCCTTCAGTGGGTGAATGGATTAAAAAAATGTGGCATATATACACAATGGAATTTTACTCAGCAATAAAAGAGAATAAAATCATGGCACTTGCAGGTAAATGGATGGCGTTGGAGAAGATAATGTCAAGTGAAGTTAGCCAGTCCTCAAAACACAAATGCTGAATGTTTTCTCTGATATAAGGAGACTGACTCATAGTGGGGTAGGGAGGGGGAGCAAGGGAGGAATAGATGAATTCTAGATAGGGAAGAGGGGTGGGAGGGAAAGGGAGGGGACAGGGGATCAGCAAGGATGGTGGAATATAGTAGACATCGTTATCCAAAGTACATGTATAAAGACACAAATTGCTGTCAACATACTTTATATACAACCAGAGATATGAAAAATTGTGCTGTATACGTGTAATAAGAATTATAATGCATTCCATTGTCATTTATTTTTTTAAAAAATCAATAAAAAATTATCAAAAAAAAATCCCCTTTCTATGAACCACCAGGTTATCCTGAGAACCAGAAACCCAATGGACATTCAGAAGAAGCAACCCAACAGAGAAGAGAGTCTGCAGAAAGCTCAGGTGTTGGGGTACAGCTCAGGGGTAGAGTGCTTGCCTAGCATGTATGAGGCCCTGAGTTCAATCCCCAGCATTGCAATAAAGTAAAACTAAAATAAAAAAGTTGTACATGAATAAAGTTCAGCCCATGACAACTTGAGTTCAAGCTCCCCTCTGAAACCAGAGTGGAAATCAGTGTGAGCCTTTTCATTTCCATTCACCTCACAGGTCTCATAGACAAGATTAGGCAGAAGACCATGCAAGGTTTTGTTGGTTTTTCTGTTTGTTTCATCACAATCTGCCTTGCATTTTTTTCCTAGATAGGAACTTTTGATTTTTTTTTCCCCAAAAAATTAACAAGCCCTACCTGTGCCCCCTTCCCACAGTTTCACATAGAAGGGGGCTACTGCTGGGGACTGTGGATTGCTGCCGGGCTCTGTCATGGCCTGGCCTATTGCAGAGGGATGGATTTGCCCAAGAGACAAAAGCATGCAATCAGGCAAGGTGTCATTTAGCAGGAGGAAAATAAAAACACTCCAAGTTTGGGGCTAGGTCTTGGGACATGAAGAACTCTATCTCTGAAGGTCAGTCCCCTATAGTAAACATCCATGGTTGTCAACCAAGGTGCCACAAGGTGGTAAAAGCTATCTTTAATGTTTCATGCAGCCTATTGGAACCTGGATACCTGCAGAGACATGGTCATACAGGTTCCTTGAAAAGTCATGTGACTGTGTTGAAACTGAGGTCTCTCACGAGGCTGTGGCCATGCCGGTTTTGTCATTCTGATCAAATTCTGACTGGCCATCAATAATGTCAATGACATACCTGAGATGAGATTTTCCCCCCTCCCATTTTGTTATATGTCTTTAATTAATTTTTTAAAAAGGGAATTATATCTCATTAACATTCATCCATTGCAGTCTGAAAGGCAAAATCTTGCAAGACCCTACGTTCACGAAGGCAGAAATAAAAGGATCCTTAGGGGTGAAAAGTTTGGGAAGCACCCCTGAGTCTCCCCTCCTCCTCCACAGACATGCACAATTCCAAGGGAATAGACGGGCTTCCCTTGAGCCAGAATGGAGCAAGCCTGTTAAGTGAGGAGACTCGAAGAGAGACGGTGTAAATTAACTGCATCTGGTGAGGTGGGGTGAGAAGGGGGAGGAGATAATTAGTTGACATTATAGGAACGAGGGCAAAGAAGAGCGTTCTATATTTACTCAGAGGAAATCTGAAATAGACTACTTTGCACCCATTTGGTGCTCCGTGAGGGATCGTGTGGCAGATGTTGAACCCAGGGACCAGAAGAACAGATCAGCCAAACCCCTGGGTGATGGAGGCGTCCCTCCCACAAACAGAAACCTGACTTCCTGCCCCTTTGCTTCTGAAAATGAAGGCGAGAAGGCGAAGGCATGCCAAAGAGACATCCGGGAGCAGTGAGACAAGGCTGTGGTCAGGGAACAATATCTCCACACAAAAGCCTGACAATAAGGAAGGTGAACAAATGTGTGGTTTATAATAAAATGAGTTCTCTTAAAATTCAATCCTGGCCAGTTTATGGTACCCCTTGGTAGGTACGTTCCACATGTAGACGGGTAACATTTCGGAAGTAACACATATTTCAAGTGATGCAGAGGCATCACTGGGTAGTTTTATTGTACATAGAACAGTAAAAAATAAATGCCACAGTCACATAAAACTCCAGAACACAGCCAAGATACAGTTTCCACCTTGTTGGATGAATTGAAGGCATTCCAGCACACACTATAAAAGCACCTACTATGAAATCTTTTCTCTCCATAGATGCAAAGAACCGCTTTCTTGGGTGCGTGTAACATGTGTATCGCCTCAGAGGAAAACATAAGCATGTCCGGCTGTCTCCATGGACGCAGGTGACATGTAGTTCTTTAAAGACCTGCTGCTCAGTACAGATCATTAGGCTGTGTGCTCGGAAGATGTAAGGTGCGGGCTAGCACTTACAGGTTTGCAAACACTTCTAAAACTGGTTTATGGGGTGTTTATTATAAGAAAAGATGTAACAGTCATGAGGTTAGGGCACCGTCTTGAAAGAGGTGCCAGAGGGAGTGGGGAAGACTAGATGAAGAGCCACAAGCTCACTCTACATGCTGGAAAGGAAAGGGCCAGCCTCCAGCCGCCCTCCAGCTCCCCCGGAGGATCCCAAGGACATCCCGGGAAGTAGAAAACGATGCAATGTGCTATCAGCAGATCCAACTCATCAGGCAGGACAGGGAGCGAGGAGGAGGCTGTGGCCATGGAGGGTCACGAGCCCAGCAGTAAACACAGCTGTGTTCTCGTGTCAGCTCTGCTCCACCAGCTGTGCTGCTGCGGGCAAGTCGTGCCACCACTCTTGGGCTCAGTTTTTTCAACTATAAAGTAAAAGACGAATGACCCCAAACAGTCCTTATAAGTCTGTATACTTAAGCTTGTCTGCACTTCCAGAAATACTCAAGGAAACCCCAGTCGGCTCCATCAAATGGCAAAAGCTCCATACATATCCGACAGTTTCTATTTGCCTATTGTCCTCTTTCAGGCATCAGCGCCACTGCAAAGCTGCCATTGAGATTTTGGTCACCTCCCAGCAGCACCCTTGGGCCTGTCACTACATACACTGCTGCAGAACAGAGATGCTGAGGGTTTTGTCCAAGGTCAGAAGCTAGGACAGGACCAGAATCCCGGCTTCCTCAATTCCTACAGCTATGCTATACTTTCCACGAAGAAACCAAGCTGGCTTTCTGGGAAGAACGCCAGAGGTTCCATTCTCCCAACTGAGAATTCATTGGAATATTGGAATAACAACTTTGGAGACTGTGGTCTCTCCAATCCATTTCAGGACCTGGCTAGAAACATGAAAACCCAGAGAAAGAAGCAATGGGGAATTATTCCGTTTTTTAACGAAAGAGAAAAAATTAGGGGTGGGAATATGGGGTTTCTTAAAAATTACATGATTGCTGGAAGTTAATTTGGTATTTTTTTTTTCGTTGGTTTGTGAGTTCTGTTTCCAATCACAAAAACAGACAGCTGAGGATGCCTAAATCACATCTCAGTGAATTTGCATCTTGTCCCAAAGAATCTTTCCCACTCCGATATATCAGAGACCCCAGAACGTGGTCCTCTGTGGTGGAAGAGAATCTTCCTCAGTGCAAGAGAGAACTTGTCATAAGCCCCTACACTGAAGTCTAAATGCCTGGGCTTCAAGCTCCACGGTCACTAAGCATGGAAAAGGATGCCACTTAACATGGGGTGCACTGCCTCTTCTAGAAAACAGACAGAGGCCATACCCTGCCAGTACAGATGGTAGCCTGTCCCCTCCTTTACCATATACACTCCTTGTTAGGCTGAAGTCATTGCACCTGGAAAAGAATCCGGCGGAGATTTAGAGATGTGTGTTCTAAAAGGAAGGTCAAGACTCCTTCCGGAGGAAGCCAACCAGCAAGAGGACACCCTTGCTATTGTACCAACTAAATGCCTTGGAGAGAACATGAATACAGCCTTCCAGGACAGCACAAGTGGTCGGTACTCAGGGTCGAGACTCGTGAAGGAAAGAAACCAAATATGATCTACAAGTCCGGTGTTCCCCTACCTGTCGATGATGACAGGGTCTGAAGGAGTCTCGTTTCGGTTTCCACAGCTTTTCTTTTCACAACATCGACTGTAGATGGGGAGGAAAGCAAGAGAGTAAAAGAATCTTGTTATATATTTTAAAAAATAGTTCATTGAGCATACAAAGGTGAGAATGTTCACAAAAAAATGAACGTGTCCAAGGTGACCATGTTTTATTTAAAAGAAAGAAAGGAAAAACTTGAACCTGGACCTGAAGCCAAAAACATATTCAAAATACAATCATTCACAGATTCTCACTCTGGGACTTATGAGCTGGCTAATCCGCCACAAATCACAACTTTCCCAAGAGCTGTATTTGTAACTGAACCACGGATGGTTGGATTTTAAGTTCTCCAAGGTCTCTTCCAGGCTGGTGTTCAATGATTTTATGATTGCATATATTAGTTCTTTTTTATCCCAATAAATATTTGGAGAAAGCAGAAGAAAAATGTATTAAATAAACCACAAGCAGGGCTGGGGATTAGCTCAGAAGTAGAGCACTTGCCTAGCATATTTGAGACCCTAAGTTTGGTTTCCAGTATCACACACCCACCAAAAAAATAGACCATGAGTTGCTGTTTGGATGATCATAAATCTTACTGATACAACACCTTTCTCTGGAGAAGTTGGTGTGCTTTGTGAACAATTTATTCATTCATTCATTTCCATCATTTCCCAAAGACAAAGGAAGAAGAGCAGAACTCTGGTGGACATTTCTACATTAGAAGAAATGAGGCAGGGAGCCGGGGTACAGTCTCTCCAATAATTTTTACCAGAACAGAAATGGAACTTGACCAGATGTCAGTCCCATCCTAAAAACGATTTCCCAACACTTCCCCCTTGCAAAGTGCTGGGGACCTGGGTGATCCATCAATATTGAGAGAGGAAGACAGAAGAGGATCCCCTAAACCAGTTAGAACAGAAGAAAGAATCCAAAAGGACCTGAGAGAGAGCAAAATTCTCCAATCCAAAGTATCTGCTCAAAATACAGAGACAAATCTGAGAAAGGAATGAATGCCACACTGCCCACCTGCAACTATAGCTTATTAGGGCCTCAGACCTTAGAATACCTACTGGCTCATTTCAGATGCATTATCCACTATCAACTGTAGTTGATTTAGGGTGGAACCTCAATGTGGCTTACAAGAAAACCATGGTCACCCAAATCAGGTGGAGAATACGTCTAAAATTAACAATAACCCAGGTACCCATGACTGCTGCCTTTCCCAGGCTGGATCCTCTGTAGCTTAGGGTTGTGTAGTGCTGTAGAAAAACTGCTGACCAGGGAATCAGGGCTCTGGCATCTAACTCCTCACTAACCAGTTGCATGAATTTAGTCAGATCTCTAATCCCTCTGAGCTTATGAAGAAAGAAAATGAAAATGTTGGATTAGGTTATCTCTAGAGTCCCTTCTAGCTTTACATGTAGGAGGCTATGGAATTCCTTGAGCACCCTTGGAAACCGATGGGGTAAGGAAAAATAGGGAGCCCTATGGCAGCCAGGACCCAAAGGCCAGCCCCAGGCCAGTCACCGATTTGCTTTGTGGCTCTCTTTGGGACTTCCAGCCTCTCTGATCCTCCACAGAATCAAACATAAACAAACAAATCAATATTTCAAAACTTTTCAAGAACATCTTTCTCATTCAGGGATGCGTGATTTAGTTAGTGAACAATTCTACCACCTTTAGAAAGTAAAACACACCTGAAGGAAGCCAAAACATTTCCAGCAAATGGGCTCAATGAGGTTTTAAGAAATTTAATCAAATTAGTAGAAAGTAAAAGAAAATTTGTCTCGACTTTCCTAAATACCAGAGTTTGCCATTGGGACTTTCTGAAATAATATTTGGCCTTTGAAATTATATTAGATCTTAACTTTTAAAATTTCAATCTATCCCAAGATTAACACCAATAAAAATGCTGGCCAGCTGCACTCCCACCCCCCAGAGCCCTTGTCTCTCCTCCCAACCCCCACCCATTTCCGGCTCCCACCTCTCAGGATCCTGGAGCATTGCTTATGTCAGTGTATACCTTAGCAGCTCAAGGCAAACCACTTTTCTAGCAACACAATTTCAAAAGACCCATACATGCTAGTTACCGAAAGGCCTTCAAGCCAGACTCTCCTTTGACATCACCAGCTTGTCAACCTAACCCCAAATATGTGTGCAATGCGGGTACAATTTAATTACACGAGCACACACTGTCAGAATGTGCCAGTCTGTTCGGTTTGGGCAGGAATGATTCTGAGGAGGCCAAGTAAGTTTGCAAAATTGCTCAGCTGAATTCAGCTGCTTTCCATGGGGATTTCCTCTGGCGGAAAAGAAAAACAGATAAAAATGTAACCCTGGTGCCAGCGAAATACAAAGTGGAGACCCAACTCAGGGAAGTAAATGATACGCAAAGGGAGAATGCAGGGAAACTTGAGGACCCCATCCTCTATTTTCCAACAGTAACATATTTAAATATAATCGCTAATGTTAATATGTAGCACAGAAAAAGATGACACAGATGGTTACTTGGCTATTGTACTACAATGATAGTAAAAGCATAAAAATACCCGATCCCCAGAACCACACCAAAAAAAAGTACAAAAGTAATAGGATCTGTTATATTTGCCCTATTTGATCCCCTCTTAAAACTTCTAAGTTAGTCAAAGCAAAGCCCTTTTCTCTTTAAAAAAAGTTCTCATTAATATGTTTTACTTGTTCTTTATTTTGTTCCTTAAGTGACATGCGGTTCTCAGGTCAGCATTATTAATAACACAAGCAGAGAGACAAGGAGAACCCATGATGTTTAGGAAACCACACTCTGCAAACAATGTGGATCTGGGGTCCCTGAATTAACCTAGATGACAAACTCAACCCTGCCTTGCCTTTGCTCTAGAGGCATAGCCAGAACAGTCAACTTTGGGCTCAGCTCTTTGAGTTAAAGGGCTCTTAAGGTTCATTTCCAACCTTCAAGTCACTAAGGTTCCGGAGAAGTGTTTCCTTTCACTGACAATGACTGTAAAATAGGAAAATGATCGAATAAATAAATAAATAAAGGAAGGAAGCAAGCAGAGAAGAGGAAACTGAACTTGGCGATAGGTTGCAATTGTGTTTCGAACTACCCCAGAGGGGTTGGGGGGCTCCTCTTTGCTAATGAATGAAATGAAAGCTGGTTCTCTGTGTCTCTGTCTGGCTTGTTTTGTTTTATTTTATTCTAGTACTCATTTGGAGACCCTTCTACTTGAAACACTCTCAATTTGCTTACAGGCCCCTTTCCTCCTCCCCATCTCCACATGGTGTCTTTGAAGAGGTTAAGAGGAAGAATAAGTCAAGCTGGGGGGTGGGAGGTGGGAGAATATGAAAAAAAAAATCATCATGAACCCGAATCTCACCTGCATTTTTCAGAAAGAGAAAAAAGAAAAAGATTTAAAAAAAAAAATGTCTAAGGAAGAAAATAAGAAGCACCCAACCCTGGACAGAGGGTGTCCAGTCAGCCCTATGGCTCTTGATAAGCTAACACATCCCTCTCCCCTCCAAAATCGTTTTTTAAAATTCAACCCTCAACTTTCAAAAATCTGTCTCTAATTTCAAACTCAAATAAGCGCACAGCATGGTGGCTTTTGTTTTGTTTTCTTCTCCCCAACTCCTCCCTGCGATTGCATAACAAAAGTGTCTAAATTCACACCATCTGGCCGATAAAGACACTGGCCCCACTGCCCGGCTGGCCCATCTGATTAGGGCCCTGTCTAGCCTGCGCCTTGTGGCGAAAAGTCACAGCTGTGGGGTTTGCTAGCGCTCAATACAACTCTGTTATTAGCCAGCTGTAGGCCTTGAGACGACTTCTGTTCAAATTATAATATCTTTTAACCCTCTGAGCATTGAGGGCACAGGGGTGGCTGGCAGCAGCATAACAACTAGATTTCTCCTTGCTAATAATTGGCAAAATGAACTAAAAGCAAAGCAGAGAAGGGGGAGGAAGAAGTTATTCCTAAACAGATTTATTTTTGTCCCTTTGCTTGTTCCTCCTAAATAATAATAATAATAATAATAATAATAATAATAATAATAATAAAGTTAAACACCAATTTAGAAACATTTTACTAAAGATTATAGGATTATGGGACATAAAATCATTCCAGCAAGTGCCCAGGTATGCAGCATAACATGGGGCAAATGAAATGAAGTATGTGCAATAATCATTGAGAAACAAGGATATCTGATCCATCTCCCCAGTGTTGACTGCTGTAACCAGCTGGTAAACTGTGGGAGAAGGAACTTGCTCCCATACCTGAGAATCAGCTAGCTCTAACTGACAGATTGAAAGAAAGCTTCCCTTTCAGATACATCTAATACTTGCCTTCACTTACCTTTGCCCAACACAGACACACACACACACACACACACACACACACACACAAGACAGGACCCATCCAATGGATCATCTATTTGCCCATAATTAATATTTGTTTTAAATTCTAGTTTAGGAAGAAAATAGCAGAGCACCCTCCCGGTCTCCAATGCAGAGAAGTTACAGTACATTAAATTTTTATATTGTGTTACTAATGCAGACTAAACCAGAGGCTTTAAAAATTGATGCTGCTACTTAAACAGCATAAAATGAGGAGGATTTGATTGGGCTTAAAAATAAAAATGTCAGCCTCCACTACAGCTGGAGGGGGGGTGCGAGTATTATAGAAAGGGATAGGTGTAATTCATTAGGCAACGGGTTAGTTTGGTGGTTTTGTTTTCTTTTCTTTTAAGGTTATCTCACTCCAGACAAAGACATTTAAAAGTGTAGAGAAGAATAAAAATCCTCTTTGACTTGCCAACCAAATTATAGCATTCTGCCTATTAAAGTATTGCATACAAGTACATCTTGAAGTTGTATTTTCTTTCTGAACAAATTTATGAAGGGGCCCTGGGATAATGGAATATCTATCTTCTTACTTCATCACCCAACTCTTCACCAAGCAATTCAGTAAGGGAACCTCAGTCCCCCTCAGATCAGACAGAGTCAAACTTTGTATTTAACAAATTTGTTTTTCTAATACTTGGTCAAAACCAAAACAAACATGTCCAATTGTTATGATTTCTCTCTGACTGGGTTGAGGAGGGAGATGGGGCTTCAGGGAGCTGCCCATAAAATAGTCCATACTAAATCAGATGGCCTGTGATTGCCCAAACCTAGCAAGTCTGGAGGTAGGAACCATTTACTGCAAGAGCAGACTGAGGGGGGAGAATGGAGGTTTTCCCTCCAATCAGATTTTGGAGGGGAGAAAATGCTGTAAAGAATAGAGTTCTAAATTTTTTAAATAAAATAACCATGTTCTTCCCAGAATTTCCTTTGTATATCCTTTCTATTTGCAGTGGGATCCTCAACATCTAGCCCAATACACCTGCAAACACTAGGCAAAAAAAAAAAAAAAAAGATTCAAAAAACATTTGTAGAATGGTTGAGCGTGTGAATGAATTTTATTCTTCTAATTTAAAAAAATGTGCAGGACTCAAAATGGAATATATCGGTCTCTGAAAGGTAGGTGGGAAAATTGTAGGAACCCAAGCAGACGGTGTGCCTTTCTCAAAGTGATCTCAGGATCCTAGGTTGCTCTAGACCCCAGACATCCCAGCGGTGGGGGACTCTCAAATCACAGGTGGGAACCAGGACCAGTCTTTCTAAGCTCCTCCTGACCTAAGAAACACCTTCAAAGAGAAGTGATGGAGAAGCGACTTCATGCAAGGAAAGAAAGCCACTTTGGCGCACGTGCCTAGGTGCAGGGAAATAGCTGGGGAATGGGAGGCTCAGCACTCTGATGGTTCCCGAGCCCAGACTGCGATTTTCCAGGGTTTAGACTCAGTAACTCCACAAGTGGCTCCGCCTGGAAATCCACCCCAGCGGGCAAGGCGGGTATCCAGCAGAGCCGGCCTCCAGCAGAGAAGTTCAGGGAAAGTCCTAATCCCCAAAGTCCATCACAAACCCCGCTTGGGCAGCGCATCTCCTTCGGCAACGGTCCTGCCTAAGGTGGACAGCGAGACTTTCCACTGGGCCTGGGAAACTCCGGCAACACCAGGGATTTGGAACCGTGAATCTTCTGGTTTGCTTTCCTCTCAAAAACTGACCTTAAAAGGGATGAGGGTCCTAGAGAATCTGCCCCGGGGAATGTCCACCGGGAGCCTTCGCTCCTGCAATTTAGTCCGGGAAGCCAGGGAGCCAGGCATGTTAGCCGTCTGTTTAGTCCAGCCCCGAGGAGAAGGTGGCTCTTACCTGCACATCACCTCGTGTGTCAGAAGAACTCGGCACATCTCCGGATTCTTATTCTGTCCCTCGTAAGCTATAGGCTGAGAATTGTGCAGGGACAGGAAGGGAAGACATGTAGCCAGCCGGGTAGAAATACAAACAAAGAGGGGACTTTAGAACAAGAACAAAATTCTCACCCTCTCACTACCTGCTACCCCATTAGCAGTTTCTGCCTAAAGGGGAACCTGTTACCTCAGCTGAAGAAATAACAAAAGTGTACCCCATAGTTCTTTGCAAAAAGGAATGTTTGGGGGTCTGAATCTCCCAATTGTGTCCTCTCTTTATCCCTTTGCTCTCCTCCCCTGCCCCCAGCATCTCCAAAACCAGATAGACACAGGACATTGGAGAGAGAGGGGGAAAGAAGTGTTCCCAGAGTACACAAGGTGGTATGGAAGGAAGTTAGAAGTTTGACCCAAGAAATCATGCAGGAGGGTAGAAGTCAGAGATAAGCTGGGGAGTTGGGGGCCAGAGACAGATGAATAGGAGCCAAGTGGCCCATTGGGCTCACCTGCTTGGTCACTGAGTCGATGAGCCTGACATAGAGGTCCTGCTCCGTGCGGACACCTACAGGAAGGGGGAGACCAGCAGGAATCAAGGACTGCAGAGCCCACTCTCCCACACCCAAACCCTTCCCTGCCCTGGGGTGGAAGCCCAGGCTGAGCTGTCCAGGAGGCAAAGACCTCTAATCCCCAGCCCCAAGCAAACCTCCCACAGCCTTATGCTCCCAAATCTGTCTGCCAGTCATCTAGGCAATGCCTTCCAGGAAATCGAGATGTGCTAGGTACTCTGCTGGCTACCAGGTGCCAGCCGATAGGATGCTCACCATTGCTGTACAGGAGCTGTAACTTGTAGTGGGTGCCATTGTTGGTCTTCTCATTGCCTTGTTCCTGAAAAGATGGAAGGCATTCGATTCCCAGGTATTTCAGTCCCCCCAAATGAGGGAAACAGGAAAGAGTGCTTCCTTATACCACCTCCCACCACTTTGAACAACCCTCTTGTCCAGCCCTGGGTCAAAGGGCAAGAGCCCCTGCCTACCGCTGACTATCTCCAAGGCTTGCCAAGCGGCAGGGGAGATAACCCAACACCACAGCAAGGCTGTCTTTAGGAAGGCCCCACCAACCCATCTGGTCTATCTGTCCTTAGTAAGCCCTGAGGCTTCTCTCTGCAGAAGGGTGAAGCGACCTGTCATTTAAAAGGGCAGAAATAGGCCCTACTCCCCTGAAACCTCAGCACCAAGGCCCAGAGCTCAGGGACCAACTGATTCCCAGGTTCAAGTGGGAACTTAACTTTATAGTTCAGGTGGCACAGCTGAGGAAACTGAGGCTCAAAGAGGGCAAGAGATCTCCTTCTGGTCACATATCAGTTTAGGTTGACTGCCCTCTATTTGAGATCAAATCCAGTCCCCAAATCCGGACTTGAGTTCAAACAAGGTGCTGCCTTGGGGAGTGGAAGAGAAAGCTTCCATGCCTGGGAGATGGGTCAAGGCTGGGCTGTGAGTTTCCACCATAGGACTGATTCAACCCACCCTGGTCGACCTGGCAGGTGAAAATAATGAGAATAACCCAGAGGAGGGCAGCGGCAGCCTTGTATACTTTTTAACTATGGTCTAGTCCAAAGGGCTTTCACTCGGTGGTCATTCTACAATCCCGCGCTACTAAGGACCCCTAGGTTCAGCACACCCAGCCGCCAGCGCTCTACACCCCGCAGGGTGCAGGAGTAGGGGCAGGAGGAGGTGCAGGGAAATCTACTGATTTAGTGGCTGGGGGTGAGAAGCCTCGATTTATCATCCTTGATGATGCGAGCGGAAAAGTGTCGCAAGTGACAGATGGAATCTTTAGAGCTCTGCAAGGAGGGAGTCATTGGGGGGGCGGGGGCAGGGGTCCTCTTACTTTGTCGTTCTCCACAAAGTCCACGAAAGCCGTACGCTCTATCTCCACCGGCTGCCCCTGCCTGTCGTAGAGCGCCAGGACGAAATGAAAGAAGTTGGATTTCCTCAAGTTAGAGGGAGGCTGCTTCTCAAAGTGGGCACGGGACAGGGCGACCCCACTGCGCAGGAAGAGACAGGTGGGACACCGGACAGAGAAAGAGAAAAGACAAGCCGTTACTAATGTGCCCAAGCAACGCCGCGGATAGGCAAGGGACCACATCCCAGGTCCAGATTCCTGGACCTGTCAGGTCTTTTATCAATTCCGATTAAGAAGTAAAAACTCCTTAGAGGAGTAGTGGCCATGAGGTCAAACGGCAGTACCATATCTGGGGCTGCTTCCACCGCCCAGTGGTCCAACCTCCCAAGGTCCCACTACCAGGCTGTTCACTGTTGGGCCTTCAGTGGAAATCGAAAGACTTTGGCTGCCACAAGAGGTCCAGACTGTCCCCCACGCCACCCTCAAGGCGGCCCCAGCAGCTGGATCAGATCGCGAAGCTGAGGCCCGGGGGTTAAGGGAACTAAGCATCTTGTTTGCAGCTGAAGAAGTGGCTCCTTTACTTCATCTTTATCCGAATTACCTGCCCTCACGAGACAAGGCTGTGGATGAGTACCCTGAAGTGCGGGTAGAAAGCCCAGAGCCCAGGTCTAGTTCCTACAGGCCTCACCCCTCTGCTTCCCTCGCTCTTCCGAAAAGTTGCATCTCAAACAGTCGCACCGCGGAATCCCCGCGACCAGCTCTGTGGGTCGCGGATCACTGCGGAGGTCGCTATATTGGACACCTTAGCCCCTTGGGTTACTGCGAGTGGAGAAGCCAGATTGTTAAGAGGCAGAGAGCATCCTCGCCCGAGACCTAGGCCATCCGGATACAAGCTGCGTTTCCCGGTGGCGCCAGCCAAAGCCACAGACCGTGAAATCCAAGTCGGGGGACTCAGAAGGCATCCTCGGAGCGCCTCGAATGTGTACACACATCTCCCTGTCTCTCTGTCAGGGCCAGTGCTAAACTGGCCACCAGACCCATTTTTAACTAAAAACGTTGGGGCGGGTGAGCGCACAGATGGCGGGAGCTGCCCCGCGGCGCTGAGGTCTCTGGGCCTCCTGTCCCAGGCGCAAGCACTTTCACTCTTTTGAAGGGTGTAACATTTTGGCTAGAATTTCCCCAACTCAGGCCGCCTGTTCCAACTTTAACAAACTATTTGATTCCGGAAAGGAAGGACAGTGAGGAAGGCATCTTCCCCAGCCGGGCTCAGAAAATGCGCGGCAGAGCCGGCTCTGCGGTGCTGCCTTCCTTCCCTCGGCTCGAAGCCCGGTAGTCCCCAGACCGCTGCGGAAAGTCGCTGCCGCCGCGGTGTGCGGTCTGCCCCAGGGACGCTGGCGCGTCCTGGCTTCCAGCGGGCGGTCAGGCGGACAGGCGGCCATCGCTGCCGGCCCCCGTCCCGAAGCGATGCGACTTCTGCTTTCTCTCCTCCAAGAGTGTGGCCGGGTTCGCTCTACCCGGGACACCTGGAGACGTAGCCTGTCTGGGAAAGGGATAATTTCTCCATGGGATGTCAGGACTTAAAGGAGGAAGGACCGGAGCGCAGATGCGGGTTGACGAACGAAAGTTGTGGAAGAAGTTCGTGGGCTCTTTGGGAACAGGAAGGTTGCCTTTCTCAGACAGGGACGTGAAGGTCTCAAATCCCAGCTCAGAAGTGGTGACGAGGCAGAAAGCCTGGAAGGTGTTCGTGGGGTGACACTGCGACATGGCGTTGACTCTCCCAGCTTGCGGGCGCTCAGAAACAAGTCAACTTCAGCGTCGAGCAAAGCTGGAAGCCGAAGATCCCTGCAGCTTTCTGGCGGCGGATCCTCTTTCCTCTCCTTTTTCTTCTTCCGCGACTCCTTCTACTGCTATTCCTTCATCTTTTCTCTTTTAATTTCTTCTCTCCCCGACTCCGTGCATCTGGAACACTCTCTGAGCCGCGACCCTCTTGCCTGCCCCCCCTCCCAGAGCTCCCGGCCGCTTCGCCTTCCCGGGCAGCGGCCGCGTCCTCTCTCCACCTCCGCCGCCGCCGCCACCATCTGGTCGCTGGGCTCCGGTTCTCCCGGAACCACCGAGATGCGGGAGAAGAGGCGCTAGCAGGCGGCGTGGGGGAAACCTGGTAGAGGCCAGGAAGTCGTCTCTGCTCTCGCGGTGGTGACAGCAGGCTCCGGTCCTCACGCGCTCGGCAGAAATGGGAGCCGAGATGCGAGGCATTGGATGCTACTTTATTTTTATTTTTTATTTTGTCTCAGAGAGTGGACTGTGGGAAAGGAGTGGGGGAGACGCACAAATGGGCCAGGCAGTTCAGAAACTCCAGTGTTGGCTGCCGGGTAAGTGTCCCCCTGACTGCAGCAACTTGCTCACCGCAGGGTAAGCGCCAGCGTACGGGGCCAGAACGACAGATGGGGGTACGGAGAAAAGGAAAGAGATGCGGAGCAGGGGAGGGGGCACATTGAGAGACACCTAGAGCAAGAGACTTTGAGAGCATAATAATTGTGCAGTCGTCTCCTTACCTCTGAGCCGCGACATTGGCGTCCACCACACCGACATTCCGGACCCAAGACCTGACCGAATCCATCTCCGCGCCCAGCGATTTCTCTTTCAGAGCTGGTCCTCTTCCTAAAGTATCTTGAATCCCAAACATTTAAAAAGTCTGATCCTTTACTGTCGCTTTAAAAATGAGTTTATAAAAACACAGTCCTGACCGTTCTCAACGCTGCAAGCAAACCGTCTCCTCCAACGCAATCCAAGAAAGGGGGATCAAGTGCCGAAGTTTGGGTCTGTCTTGAAAAAAAAAAAAAAAAAGTCCTTTGCTTCACGCGCGAGGTGCGGAATGATGTAGTCAAAAGTTTGGGTTTTTATCCTCTGCAAGTTCAGATCTGCCGCTTCAGGCCCTCCACCCTAGGTCGCTCGCATCCTTCCAACTGCAGAGCTGCCTCCACAAAGTGGTCACAATTTAGAAGCATCACCTGTTCTGGGAGAAACAGGAGGAGATTGATAGCTGCCTAATCTCTCTGCTTCCTCCAGGTCCTCCCTCCCTGCTCCTCCCCACGGTTCCAATTTAGAAAAAAAAAAAAAAAAATCCCCAACAGGATCAGTTTTAAAAGGAAGGGGAAGACCCGGAGCCGAGAGGAGGCGGTGGCTGCGAGAGCCGCTGAGCCGGGCTGCATCCGCGCGCCGGCCCCATGAATGGGTTACTACTGCCCGGGCCGCCGGAGGCGGAGCCGCGGCCCAATAAGGAGCCTCATTTGCATGGACGCTCGGGATTGGCCGGCGCCGGGCAAGCCAGGCCGACGTCCTCCGGCGGCGCGCACCACGCTCTGCGTTGCCGGGAGTCCGGGAGGTGAAAGGGGACAGAAAGCTGTGGGCACCGAGTCCTCGCCCGAACCCTGCGCGCGTGGCGTGAGCCGGATGGGGGGCCCCCAAACCCTGCACTGACGCAGGATAGCTGGGTCCTACGGCCTAGGGACGCGCTGGCTCCGCCTGGCCTCGGGAGCGGGGAAACCTTTGTGAATTTGCCTCTAGATGTAGGTTTTTGTAGCCTGCCAGGAGGCATGTTAATTTTCGGGGTTTGGATCTGTGTGCATGTTTGCGAAAAAGCGGAGAGTGTGACCACATGTACTTTTGTTTTGTGCAAACGTTCCCCAGAGCACCCAGCTCCCTGAATGGCTCTCCCAAGTCTCCTGGGATTCCATGGTGACACTCAGATTTTGTGTACGGTTTGCAAGATGTTAGGGGGGAAAAAAGGATATTTAATGAAAGTCGGGAGTGGGGTGTGGACGAGCGAGGCTCAAGTGCTGTTCAAATAAATAATGACGGGGAAAACGTAGAGGAGCTAAGAAAAATATACCCGGGCGGGCGCGAACGGGCGTCGCACCCGTGCAGATGAGAAGTTGCTGACAGATCGTGGCAGGCTTAATGCGAGAGTTGCCAGGGTGTATCCCGGGAACCCTCTTCTCTCTCCCTAGTTCCCGAAGCTGCCGGGAGCCTCAGGGGGGCAACCCGGGAGTCACGGAAACTTTGCGTACCGAGCGCGGTGGCCACGGTGCTGGCCCGCGGGCTAGTGGCCGAGAGGCGGCAGCAGCTCCGCCAAACAGCTGAAACCCTAGACGGCTTTGTAACTACGCCATGCAACTCGCGGTGCCTATTAAAAATCCTCCTGGCTGGGTGTTATTTTCTTGCTTCTCCTTTTGTATTCTGATCTGTGCATAGATCTGCTGCTGAAATCTAGAACACCAGCGCGAAAACAGATTTGAAGACAATGAATGCAAATCTGTGCTCAAAGACCATCTGCCGTGGAGGAGACAATCAGCTGTTCCACAGTTCGAACGACTGCACCCGAGTCTCCCGGCCTCATTACGCACAGGGCATTTACGAAAGCCTGGATTACATTCAGGAGACTCTCCTCCCCACCCCACACATACTTAGGACTTAGTTTTGCGCATCAATTGACTCCG